CTGTTCATTCTAATATGTGACTTAATAACAATAGTGACTGGGACCAGCAGGTGGCACGGTGGTTAAGGTGCTGGAATTTCCACATGGCTGACCGCGGTTCAATTCCTGAACCTGGCGGCTTGCTTTCTCACTCGTCTGTCTTTCTCTGGCAAAATTCATGTGAAGATAATAATAATAAATTAATTAAATAATTCATTAAAATAATAACAACAACAGTGACTGCTTGCACTACACATACACACGCACACATTAAAAATAACCTAATTCTGCACTTTCACAAATAGTGTTTACAGAAAATACAAAAACTGTGTACGTATTGATATTCTAGTATCAACAGATAAATAGCCTGGGGGCTGGCAGGTGGCATGGTGGTTAAGGGCGCTGGACTCCCACATGGTCGACTACCTGGCAGCTTGCTTTCTCACTTTCGCTCTCACTTTCACTCATTTTATCCCTCTCTGGTCAAATAAATAAAGTTAAATTTAAAAAACAGATAAATAGCCTGTAAAATACAAAGTATGCAACACACACAGCTCAAGTTTATTACAACTACTTAACTAGTTGTTTGCAATCAGACATTTGTCATTGTTACAATTTTCTCAAAACATAAAAAACTTACTTCTAGAGCTTTGGAAAAATTAAAATAAAATGATGAAGATTTACAAATAAAAGTTATATATTTCAGAAATCTTAAATTATTACCTTTGGGGAAGCGGGTAGTGGGTGGAGCTGGTGTGTGTATGTTTATGTGTACAACTTTGCCTATTAAGTATCATACTTATGGAACCACCAGATGGCATAATGTTACATTGTTGAACTTCTATGTAGTTAACTGTGGTTTGAGTCCTGAACCCAGCTGCTTAAAACTCACACCAGGTGTGTGTGCCCAAAATCCCAAGAAGAGAATGAAGGAGAAGGGGTTGCAGTGTGGCCATCCCTCCGGGGGTGGGGGAAGGGGTGGGGGGTGACTCCTTGCTTTCTGTCTGTCTCCCTGGCAAGTACATGTACCCTATAGCAAAAACCTCTCTTAAAAAAAAAAAAAAAAAAAAAAACAAGGGAACCAGCAGTTAGCATAACGGCTATGTTGCTGGACTCCCACGTAGTCGACCACGGTTCGCGTCCTGGATCTGGTGGCTTAAAACTCACGCCGGGCGCATGTGCGTGCATGCCCAAGATCCTGAGAGGAGAATGGAGGAGAAGGGATTGCGGCGTGACCATCCCCCCTGGGGGGTGATTTCTCGCTTTCTGTCTCTATGTCTCTGTCTGTCTGGCGAGCGCATACGCCCTATAACGAAAACCTCTCCAAAACAAACAAACAAACAAACAAACAAAAAACTATCGTATTTATAAGACTCAAGATAATTTTTCATATATGACTCTTGCTTTCAAAATATTCTTATAGAGTAGGTCACTATCAGGATACAGACCTACAGTGAGGCCAAATTAAACAAATTGAAAAGCCTACTTACTGACCACTATTTACAATATTTATGAACATTTCTCTCCCACTAAGAGGAGAACCATGTATAGCAGAGCACATTGTATTGTGCTGTGCAGATGTTGTGATTTTTACAAATTAGAGGCCTGTGGCAATCCTGTGTCAAGCCAGATTACTGGCCCCGTGTTTCCAACAGCATGTGCTCACTTTGTTTCTCTGTGTCACATTTTGGCAAATATTCACAATAATTCAAACTTTTTTTCATTATTATTTTGTATGTCACGGTGATTTGTAAACTTTGGTTACTATATAACTGTTTGGGGTCACCACAAACGGTGCCCATATAGAACAGTGATATGGCAATAGATTTTATCGACAAATATATGTTTTGATTGCCCCACCAACCAACTATTTCCCAATCTCTCTCCCTCTCCCTGGTGGTTCTATTCCCTGAGACACAATAATACTGAAAATATTTCAATTAATAACCCCACAATGGCCTCTTAAGTGCTCATGTAAAAGAATCTCAGGTCTGTCACATTATATCAGAAGTTAGAAATAATTAAGCTTAGTGACACCAGCAGTTAGTGTAATGGCTATGTTGCTGAACTCCCATGTAGTCGACTGCGGTTCGAGTCCCAGACCTGATAGCTTAAACTTATGCCGGGTGCATATGCGTGCATGCCCAAGATCCCAAGAGGAGAGTGGAGGAGAAGGGACTGCGGCATGGCCATCCCTCCCGGGGGGGCTTTCTCACTCTGTCTCTCTCTGTCTTTCTGGAGAGTGCACACGCCCTATAGCAAAAAAAAAAAAAAAAGAAAAAAGAAAAAAGAAAAACTCTCCAACAACAAAAAAAGAGAAAGAATTAAGCTTAGTGAGAAAGGCATGTGAAAGCCAAGACAGGTCAAAAGCTAGGCCTTTTGTACCAGTTACCCAAGTTATGAATGCAAAAGAAAAGTTCTTGAAGGAAATTAAGTGTTATTCCAGTGAGTATTTCTTTTGTTTGCTATAATGTGCATATGCTTACCAGAGGGAGAGAGAAGGGATGTGGGGGTGGGGGAAGAGAAAAAGAGATATATAGAGAGAGCAAGAGAGTGAGCACCTCCCTCGGGGATGGCCATACTGCAATCCCCTTTACTATCCCATTCTTCTCTTGGGATTTTGGGTGTGCAAACACGTGCTCAGCACATCTTTTCAAGCGCTTGCCAGGTCCAGGTCTCCAGCCACATAGTTGGCAGTTGGGACCCAGCTCCCTTAATCACTGCACCCCAGATGGCCCTTCCAGTGAGTATTTCTGTAATGTAATTTTTTCTTTTTCAATAATTATTTTACTCATCATTACTATTTTTTAATTTGACCAGAGAGACAGACAGAGAGAGAGAGAAAGAAAGTGAGGAAATAAGCTCCCAGGTCCAGGACTCAAACCACAGTCAGCCATGGGGGAGTCTAGTGCCTTAACCACCACGCCATCTCCCGGCCACACATGAAACAAAGAATCACCCTTGACAGGGTCTTATCACACTGTAATCTCTTTCTCTAGACCTCTAGCTCCTCAGGATCTGACTATAGGGATATGAACCTGGATTAGGCTCTATGGTGTTCAGCTTTGTGGGATACTTGCTTCACCACTGTGCCACATGGTTGTTTTATTTTCAGACACTGCTACAGACACCCCAATCTTCAGCAATTACCACTCTGGATCAATCAGTGAGTGGCCATCTACATTCAACAAGACCCTCCACATGCAAAAAGATAACTTGCTGAAAGATTACATGATTATTAATATTTTTTGAAATAAAGTATCGTTTAATTAAGTTATTGACATTGTCTTTTATTTTTAAAAAAGGTTTTGCTATAGGGTGTGTGCATTCACCTGAGAGGAAAAGTGAGAAATAATCCCCCAGTGGGGATGGCCACACCACAATCCCTTCTCTTCCATTCTCCTCTCAGGATTTTGTGCATGCACATTCACCAGCCTGGCATGATATTCAAGTTGCCTAGTCCAGGTCTCTGACTGCAGTCGGCCATGTAAGATTCCAGCACCTTAACCACTTATGCCACCTGCTGGCCTCAACCTACATTGTCTTTTGAGACATGTTATTTATTACACACACGATAGAAACAGTACAATATAAACATAACTATTACATGCATTGAGAAACCAACAATTTCAGATTGCTTTACTTTACTGCAGTAGTCTGGAACCGAATCACAGTATTTCTGAGGCACGCCTATAGCTCTTAAAAAGATCACTAATTCTTTATCCTATACTGTCCTATACACTGGTTTGTTAAAATTTGGACTACAGCTTTTCATTTATTATTTGTATGATTTTAAAAATTATAAAAGGAAATTTAGTAATCACAAAAGTCCAAACTTGGTTCATACTTTGTGAGTCCTATTTTTTTTTTTGGAGAGGTTTTTGCTGTAGGATACATGCGCTTGACGGAAAGACAGAGAGAGAGAGAGAGACAGAAAGCAAGAAATCACCCCCCAGGGGGGATGGCCACGCTGCAATCCTTTCTCCTCCATTCTCCTCTCGGGATCTTGGGTACGCACGCACACGCACCTGGCGTGAGTTTAAGTCACTGGGTCCAGGACTTGAACCATGGCTGACTACATGGGAAGTCCAACGACATAGCCATTACGCCAAGTGCTGGTCCCTGTGAGTCCTACTTTTATAAAGGAAGAATAAAGTTTCCCTAAAATTATTACTTTATATTAGGCTAAAATTAGAAACCTAAGAATTAAAGAGTTATTACTTGGTGCCCACAGATTCATTTGTCCTCTCTCAGGAATATAACATCAAGAAGTGTATACTATTCTCACTAACACATTAATACAAATTGAGGTATTTTGTAAATTCTACTAGAAGCCCTATTTCATTTGTCTATCCTTGAAACAAACTCACGTTAAAAAATGAAAAGCCCATCAACATGTTACTTTATGGCATCGTAGGAATTCACCTGAGTTGTAGTGACAGCAGGAGTGGTTGATGATGCAGCTGTGGGAGAGAGTGCTCCCACTTGTTGCAAATGCCCAGAAGACTGCTGAGGTAAATGGGAACTGGAGACAGGAGTACTAGATCCTGAGCCAGATACTACATTTGGAAATGATACTGCTACATCATTGCTGTTATAAATACCTGCAAGAAAAGGAATTTTATTTAAATATTTTATAACTTAGCACAGCCAACTTGTCAAAGATACACAGTCAATTAGAATACTCCCATTTCTTCCTGATACTCCCCCCCAATTATGAATTTTACTGTTGATATTTTTTAAAGTATGAGTAATTAAATGAATAAATACTGACGTTTTATAAAATACTTGTCTAAAAGAACCTGAATCATTCTTTATTTGGCAATAAAATAAAATAAATTAAAAGTTGTCTATAGTCAGGGACCACATCAGGAAGAGCTCTTTAAAAAAATACACTAAGGGCTTCAGAAATTCTTAAGAGCAACTAAAGGTTTCTTAAATAGGAAAATGAAACAATTCAGAGTTGCATAACAATTAACTGGTAAATCCTTCAAAATGCTAAGGCCCCCCAGAAATCACGACTGACAAGGTCTGAGATGGGAAGAGATCTTGTTCTAGAAAAGCTACCAATGTAGAAAATAAAATGGAATAAATCTAGACATAAAATTAAGAGAATAAAAGGGCTGAAGACATCAGAGGGACATGGCTGTGGGAATAAAGAACACGGGTAAATTCTAGACATAATTCAGGAGAGAGAGTAAACAGAACTTCAGTGGAAAAGGAGGGCGGTTAAGACTCAGCTCTATGACTCGGACTACTTTAGGAAACACAGGAGAGAAGATGGGAGAGTGGGGGAAAACATTTTCAGTAGCACCCTGGGGAGGGAGGAGCCAGAAAGAAGTGGAAAAGTGGATGGGAAAAGGAAGGGGAAAGAAAATTAGCATAAGTTAAAAGGAAACAATAAATTATAGACAAGGGAAAGAAGGAAGGAAAAAGGAGTTTTGTTTTCAAAAATGGGAATGAGGTTAAGGGAGCCAGATTCCACATGACTAACTGGTCAGAGTCCTGGTCCTAGAGGTTTGGAAAACATGCCAGGTGCATGCATATACATGCCCAAAATTCTGACATAATGAAGAACTGAAGGAGAAAGGATAAAGCAGGACCAAGTCCCACTGGGGGGTGCTTTCTAACTCTTATTCACACTCTGTTTCTGTGTGTATCTGCATGTCTGTCTATCTGTGTGTCTCTGTAACCTGTAAATGTCTCTGTGTCTGTCTCTCTCTCTCTCTGTATGTCCGTCTGTGTTTGTGTGTTTCTCTCTGACATGTAAGATGCCCTGTGGCAATTTTTCAAAAAATGTTTTTAAGGGGGCTGGCAGGTGGCATGGTAGTTAAGGGTACTGGGCTACTACATGGCTGACCACAGTTTGAGTCCCAGACCTGGTGGCTTGCTTTCTCACTTTCTCTCTTTCTCACTCTATCCCTCTCTGGTCAAATTAAAAATAAATAAATAAAGTTAAATAATTCTTTAACAAATGCTTTTTAATGCTGATAACAAAAAGCTTATAGAGGAGAGGCTTGTTACAGATAAAAGAATGAGACTGAACTATCTTTAAATCTGTAGTTTTCAACAAGAGATAATTTTACCCCAGAGAATACATTTTACAATGTCTGGAGACATTTTTAGTTGTTAAAACCAGGGGGTGGACCCAGCCATGGTAGCACTTACTGGATGCTGCTCTTTAGCAGGCTGAGGCCACACAGGAGGCTCAGGTTCAATACATGGCCCACTCTAAAAAGCCAGGCTACCAAAGCTAGGCCTAGCACCGGCTTCTGAGACAGAATTGGGTTCATATACTGGATCTCCCAACTATGTGATTTTAATTAAATTAGTCTTTTTGTTATAGTACATGTGGACTCAACAGTCGGGGGGGCTGGGAAGAGTGAGTGGTAGAAAACAAAGCACCCACCCAGGAGGTGTGACCATGCTACAATCTCTTAAATCATCTCCTCCATTTTCCTCTAGGGATTTCGGGGACACATGGCTGTGTGCTTTTCAAGCTGCTAGGGTCTGAGACTCAAACTGCAAATCAGTCACATGGGATCCAGCCATCTCAACCACCAGGTCACCTGGGTGACCCAATAAAAGGCTTTTTGTAAGAATTTGAGAATATCCATGTCAAGGTTCTAGCAATGCCTACCATACGGTAAGTTTTGACAGATGGCAGCTATTGTAATTTTAGAGTTAATGTTCTAATTAAAACTTAATCTCTGGGTTGGCTCTATGTCCTAATGGTTAAGGGAGCTGGATCCCACCTGGCTGACCACAATATGAATTCCGGCCCTGATGGCTTGAAAGGCACACTAGATGCATGTCTGCGTGACCCAAATCCCAACAAATGGAGAAACAGAGAAGAGACTGTAGCATGACTGTACCCCACTGGGGGTGGTGGGGTGAGAGTGCTTTCTCTAGCTCCCTCACCCTCTCTCTCTCTGGTCATGCATGTGCCCTCTAGCAATTAAACAAATGATGATGATGATGATGATGATGATGATCTTTAAGCCAGGAAATACACATAGCATTGTAATTGTCAGGTCCTCTAATACCCCTATTACACTGTGAAAGTTGTAATTACCATCCCTGTGAGCTTTAATATTACCTTGAAAAATACTGAAAAGCAAAACTGTGGAGATTGAGGATCTTCCATCATAAAACTTAAATTTTGTTATATATATATATATATTTTTTTTTATTATTTTTTTATTTTTTTGCTGGGGGCAGAGGTTTTTGCTATAGGGTGTATGCACTCACCAGAAAGACAGAGACAGAGAGAAAGTAAGAGAGAAACCACCCCCCAGGGGGGATGGTCATGCAGCAATCCCTTCTCCTCCATTCTCCTCTTAGGATCTTGGGCACGCCCGCAAACGCACCTGGCATGAGTTTAGACCACCGGGTCCAGGACTCGAACCGTGATCAACTACATGGGAGTCCAGCAACATAGCCATTATGCTAACTGCTGGTCCCGCTTTAACGTGTATTCAAATTACATAGCTAAAGTGCAATCAAATGATCCAGTGATCATACTCTGAAACTGTGTCTGGTACTCAGGCTACAACACAGTACGACAGATCAATTTTTTCCTCTCCTATCACAGCAGAAAAGATTAAAGTTCTCATTTTTTTAAAATGAGGATCACTGATTGCTCTCAACTTTCCCACTCCTTAGGTGTGACTGTACAGCTTCAACAGTTAGACCACTAGATCTTTCCTTGTAAGACAAAAAAAATCCTCCTCAGGGGCCAGCAGGTGGCAAAGAGGTTAAGGTGCTAGATTCCTACATGGCTGACTGCAGTTTGAGTCCTGAACCTGGAGGCTTGAAATTCACACTGGGCATGTGTGTGTGAATGCTCATAATTCCGAGTGGAAAATGGAGAAGGGACTGTGTAATGGAGATCTCCCCCCTTGGGAGGGTGCTTTGTTGTTTTTCTCTGTCTCTCTCTGGTGAGTGGACACATTCTATAGCAAAATATCTCAAAAAAAAAAAAAAGAATGCTTATCAAATTGTTCTGTTTCTACTTTCTGTTTAACATCACTCTATCTTTCACAAGTCACATACTGTTTTAACTCAAATCAAGGTAATATTCATTGAATTAAATAGAACTAAATCATATAATGCACAAGCTCTAGGAAATATCCTGAAATTCATCTATTTAGTTAAAATAAAGATGCAGAATGACACAAAAGCTGACAATGACATACATGTTCGTTCATTCATTCATTCATTCATCTATCAGACAAATTCTAAATAGCTACTAGAAAACAAGTGCTGTGTTAGAAGCAAAAAATAAATATAGTAGAGAACAGAACAAATAAGATCTCTGCTCTGCAGGAGTTTACAATTTAATTAGGAAGATAAACATTAAAATAAACACATGATATAAATTCCAACAAGTATTATGATGGAAAAGAAAAAGATCTCATGAGAGTGAAATTAGAAAACAAGAAAGACCTATTTGAAGAAATTTTAAGTCAAGATCTAAAGGTTAGGTATGTATTTTCTGTACAAAGATTAAGGAAGAAAAGTTTGCCCAAAAGCCCTTGGAAGAAAAAATAACTATATGGCTAAAAAACTGTAGATAGTGGTAGAAGACAAGACTGAAGAGAGGGGAAGGAACAGTTCTACAGGCACTGTAAGCCATGCAGTGGTGTCTGGAATTTGTGCTAAGATCAACAGGAAGAACCTAAAGGCAAAGAGCATGGACTTTCTCTTTAAAAAGTTCATCCCGGGGCCAGCAGGTGGCGTGATGGTTAAGGGCACTAGACTCCCACATGGCCAACTGCAGTTGAATCCTGGACCTGGTGACTTGTTTTCTCACTCACTCTGTCCCGCTCTGGTCAAATTTAAATAAATAAATAAATAACAAGTTAAATAAAGAAATTCTTTAAAAAAAAAAATTCATCCCTCTACTATGTAGCAAATGGATTGGAAAGGGGATGAGCAGAAACAGTTCTTTTAGGCAGCTACTCCACAATTTAGATAAAAAGTTATGTTCATCTAGATTAAGGTGTTAATTGTATTGAACATGGTGAAAGATGGATCTGAAGTGCATCTACTGAATAGTTACAATCATCTAAACTTGACAATAAAAGAATATTTGGTAGTGGGAACCAGAAGTTAGCGTAATGGCTATGTCGCTGAACTCCCACGTAGTCAACCGCAGTTCGTGTCCCAGACCCGGTGGCTTAAAACTCACACAGGGCGCGTGTGCGTGCGTGCCCAAGATCCCAAAAACGGAGGAGAAGGGGCTGCGGCATGACCATTCCCCCGGGGGGTGATTTCTCGCTTTCTGTCTCTATGTCTCTGTCTGTCTGTCTGGCAAGCGCACATGCCCTATAGCAAAAACCTCTCCAAAAAAAAAAATTAAATAAAATTTGGTAGATAGGGTAAGGAAAAGTATTATGAGTTAATTACAGCTTTCTGGTTAGTAATTTTTTAAAATTTTTAAACAATTATTTTATTTGTATTTATTTATTTTATTATTATTTTTTAAATGATACTCTGTGTATGTGTATATTTATATTTATATAAACATATACATTTTACTCAAATATGATCATAGTTCATGTATTTTTTTATAGCCTGCTTTTCTGCACCCAATAATGTT